GCGCGACGGCATTAAAATCGACCCGGCGAAAATCAATACCATACAAGAGTGGAAGTTGTCAGAATATTATGCTCTAGCCTGTAGTGGGGTGCTTTATAGCGAGTACAACCCTTCTAGGGTTTGCTATTTGTATCCTCATTCTTGCTAGTGCAACCCTCTCTTCTTTCATTTCTCTTTCGTGTACCCTAAACCTAGCCATGGCTTCTTAGCCTTAGCTACTATTTTGACATGGTATCAGAGCAGGTCGATCCTCTTGGGTCGATCCTGTGGATGGGCCCACCACCTAAAGCTTCTGCTACTCTACTGCTGTCGCGCGCCCCGGGCGCGCGACCCTTTCTTCCTGCCGCGCACTCGGAGCGCGGGGCGTTTTTCATCCCACCGTGCGCTCGGGATGTGCGGCGGTTTTCTGCCCGCCGTGCGCCCCGAGGCGCGCGGCGGTTTCCTGCTTCGCGCGGCGGTATTCTGCACGCCATGCGCTCAGGATGCGTGGCGGTTTCCTGCCCACCGCGCACCCTGGGCGCACGCGGCGGTTTCGCGTTCCGTCGACCCGCACGCCCGTCCCCGTTGACCTGCGCGCGGCTCCTCGTCGCCCTTCGCGGCGGCCCCGTCAACCCGCGCAGCGGCTCCCCGTCGCCCTTCGCGGCGGCCCCGTCGACCCACGTGTCGCCCTACGGCCCCCCCTCCCCACACACCTGCGTTTGCTTACCGCACACCCGAGTTCGCTTCCCGCACGCTTGTGCATGCTTCGCGCACACCTGAGCTCGCTTACCGCACACTCAGGGTATGGGGGTGGCGGGTGTGCGCGGTCCCCTGCTCCTCCTCCTCCGTCTCCCGCTGCTGCAGCTGCCGCTGAGGGGGGTGGGCGTGTGGGAGACGAAGGAGTGGTGCTAGGGGGGTGACATGTGAGTGACCCTAGGGGTGCAGTAGGGGGTGTGTGAAATGGGGGTGGGATAGTTTGGGGAGGTTGAAGGGGGTGGCCGCCGAGAAGCCAGCAGCTCCAGCCGCCCGTGAGACCGTTGCGCCAGTCGCCCGTGAGCCCGTTGCGCCAGTCGCCCATGAGCCCGTTGCTCCAGTCGCCCGTGAGTCTGTTGCTCGTCTGCCGCTACTTTTAGCCGCGGAGCCAGTTACTCCAGTAGCCCGTATGCCAGTTGCTCCAGTTGCCAGTATGCCAGTTGGTCCAGTTGCCCGTGTGCCAGTTGCTCCAGTTGCGCCGTGTGCCAGCAGCTTCAGTTGCCGCCCACTACCTCCTCTCCTCTCATAGTCCCTCCTCCACACTAGCCCTCTGCGATAGCCTCTAGCTTTGCTCATAATTGTGAACTTTAAACTATTGCTTCTTGAACTTGTGCTCAGAATGTGTGGTGACATTGTGATCCTCCCTGAGCTTGTCCTGCTTTGCTTGCTCTGCTGATTACACCCCACTTTGGCTATGGGGGTGTGTCAGAATATTATGCTCTAGCCTGTAGTGGGGTGTTTTATAGCAAGTACAACCCTTCTAGGGTTTGCTATTTGTATCCTCATTCTTGCTAGTGCAACCCTCTCTTCTTTCATTTCTCTTTCGTGTACCCTAAACCTAGCCATGGCTTCTTAGCCTTAGCTACTATTCTGACAGAAGTCCCCGATGAACGTCACGGAACTCCAGAGTTTTCTCAGATTCGTGAATTACGTCCGGCGGTTTATCCCGAATATGGCACGGATAACCAGCCCGCTGACCGACCTGCTGCACAAGGACAAGAATTTTGTGTGGGGGGAGGAGGCAGAAGCGGCTTTCCAGGAACTCAAGAATTTCCTCGTTTCCCCTCCTGTGCTGCGCATCGCCGACCCATCGAAGCCGTTCGAAGTTGTAACCGACGCTTCAGATTTCGCCATCGGAGCTGTGCTTCTCCAAGACTTTGGGAACGGGTTGCAGCCGACAGCCTACGAATCACGCAAGCTGCAGGCAGCCGAACGCAACTACCTGATCCACGACAAGGAGATGCTCGCCATCATACACGCGTTTAAATTATGGCGATGCTACCTGGTGGGCGCCGACGTCACTGTTCGCACGGACCACAAGTCCCTACAGTACCTGCGAGCCCAACCCAACCTCAACCCACGACAGATTCGGTGGCTGGACTACATGGAGAGCCACTTCACCTACCGCATCACGTACAAAAAAGGGGCTAATAACATCGCCGACGCCCTGACCCGACCGACAGTACAATCCGTTGCAGTACGCATCACCCACTCGAACCCGTTACTGACCGGACTATTTACCCACGGCTACACGACGGACCCATTCTTCACGACGGGAAATCATCAGCAGGCCACGACGCAGAAAGGGGACTATTACCTAAAAGCCGGAACCAACCGGATTTGGGTTCCCGCTTACCGACTGCTGCGTGAACTTCTCATCCAGGAAATCCACGATTCGAACTTCCCCGGACACTTCGGGGTTGATAAAACCCATAAACTACTGCACCGTCAATATTACTGGCCTGATTCATCTAACGACGTGCAGCGCTATGTGTCCTCATGCAGGGTGTGCCAAGCAATGAAATCGACACGTCAGCGACCAGCTGGGCTGCTGCAACCCCTCGAGCCACCCGAACGACCGTGGCAGCAAGTGACGATGGATTTCGTCACGGGGATGCCAGCTGGGCCGTCCGACAACGACGATGTTCTCGTCGTCGTCGATCGCTTCACGAAAATGGCGCACTTCGCACCATGCCGAACGACAATCACAGCCGAAGAAACTGCGCGCCTCTTCATCTCAGCGGTCGTGCGACTGCACGGCATCCCTTCGGCAATCATCAGCGACCGAGACCCGAAGTTCACATCCAAATTCTGGAAGGAGACGTGGGTGCAGTACGGCACGAAGCTACAGTTTTCATCGGCATATCACCCACAGACGGACGGTCAAACCGAGCGGACCAATTAGACCATGGAGCAGCTGATCAGGACAAACTGCCCCGACCCTGCCCGCTGGGAAGACTCGCTTGCGATGTTGGAATTCGCTTTCAACAACGCACCGTCCAGCACGACTAATCACTCCCCATTTTTCCTGAATTACGGGATGGACCCGACAGTTCCTACGACAACTACTCTCGACAATCCGGTCCCGAGGTCACAGACTTTCGTGACGGAACTTCAGGAAGTCCGAGAAAAAGCCGCAGACGCAATTCGCAAGGCGAATATTACTTCCCGCAAATACACCGACCTTCTACGACGGGAACTCGTCTTGACAACTGGGCAACTAGTGCTACTTGTCACGAAGAACCTGCACCTGCCCGTCCATCGAAACTACGGCCACGATTTTGCGGACCGTTCAAGATTCTCAAGATGGTGACACCTGTCACCGCGAAGCTGTTGCTACCTGACGATTGGCGCATTCATGACGCCTTCCACGTCAGCCTTCTTCGAAAGTTCGTGCCAGCAACGACCGACATCGCACGTCAGCACGCTGCCCCGATAGCACGACCTGTCTCGGAGCCGACACTTGACCCTTCCAAAATCCTCGCTGATCGGGTCCGCCTTGACGCAGCTGGCCGACACGTGGATTTCTTAATTCGCTGGACTGACCGAACCAGTGAGGACGACACGTGGGTACCATCCGCCTTGCTCGACGCCTCGCCACTTGTTGGTGATTACCTAACGCGACGGCGTGTTTCGGATATTGACTGCCTTTCTCAAGGGGGGGGGGGGGGGGGTGGTGTAAGGAATTTCCCCGAATTTCTTATCGGGGTTGACTGCTTCGTGTACAACCCGATTTTCGGAGTTCGCTCGTTCGGCCTATTTCAACGATGCCGAGGCTCCTCGCGTCGCCTTCGGCATTTCCATCCCCAAACCTGCACCCAACCTAGCTCGTCCTAGCTAGACTAGTCCTACATTAGTCTGTGCATTCATTGTATTCTCAGTTGATTCAGTCACAGTCTCGTTATTCGTTTACCTGCGCCCTCTCTTTGACAACTCATAACACCCTCCTAGACACGTAAGTTGTGCGGGCAACCAGCCAATCCCTGGGGACTGCACTCCCGCAATCTTCGTTCGGGCAGCCAACTCTTGCCCAATAGATTCTGTGGTTGGTGTACGCTGATCCACACAGTTCCACTGCGCTGTGCGTCGCATGCTGTCGCACGGCAGTTTTGAACAACCGTGGAAGAAGAAATGCCAAGTTCACTGCTGTAATGTACAGCGTTTTACTCGCTACAGTTGTTTCCTCCTGGTGTTCTCAAGGGTACGGGCACCCTAGGGTAAACTGTAGCAGTATATACTTGAATCCTATGCGCAGCCATTTGAGGAGGTACTGTACTGCACTGCACCTTGCCTTGCCTGACCTACATCCTTGTTTCCTTCCCCCTCTTAACATCTCATTTCCTTACCATCCCACTTCACTTCCCGCAAAATCCTTTCTCCATCAACATTCCTATTTATGTCCCCATAGCAATATTTCGGACTTGGCAGCTGAACAACGAGAAGCGTGTGCACCTCATGGATGGCACGCACAGTGGTGCGTCATATTTTTAGTCCATGGTGTTTTGGTTTGTAATGGTACTCACTTGAAGAAAGGCTATCGCAGCATTTTTTTTACAAGAACATCTCTAGGTCGTCGCTCGTGATTTGTGTTTCTTAGCCTGCTGCTCGTACAGCGTACTGGTCGATCACCCATGGCGACTCTTAGCGGCATCGCCGGCGAGTCTTTCGCGGAGAACCGTTTCGCAGAGGCGCTTGGCCACGACCCGTTGCAGAATCGCACGGCTGGTAATGGCATCAGCGGCACAGAATGGCATAGCAGCAGCATCGCGCAGGCGCAGCAGCAGCTTCATCAGCACCAACAACAGCTTTTGCAGGAACATCAACAGCAACGGCAACAGCAGCAGCAGCAGCAGCAGCATGTGCGCATACCGGAAGCCATGCCTGGAACCGGCATGGGGAATGAGGAGGCCTTATTGATTGATTTGCGCGGCTTGAAAGAACGTTCTAATCGCAGCGCGACGTCTGTCGCCGACTTTCGTCGCCAGCACATGGTGCGATTTTTGCGCGACGCCACCGAGCTGGCGCAGCAGCCCGCGCAGCCGCCGGAAGCGGGGGTCGCGCAGGGGGAGTGCAGCAGCGCGCAAGAGCGAGCGCAGGGCGCGCAAGAAAAGGCGCAAGGCGCGGAACAAGAGCGTGGAAGAACGGGAGACCAGGGCGCAGGAGGGTGGGGCACTGGCTTTGCTAGCAATATACCCGGAGCAAGTGGTCATGCGGAAGGGGAAGTGGGGGGGAGGAGTCGGGAAGCAGCGGCTGGCGGAAGCGAAGGCCGTGGGGCGATTAGCGGAGGGGGTCAGCGCGGAGCGGAGGCTTGGGCGGCGCAAGCAGGTAATGAGGGGAATGCCGGCCAGAGGGGGGATGTTGCGGGTAGAGGGGGAAACCCGGCAGGGGGAACTCCAGTTTCTCCCCGCGGAAGAAGCGCAGGCGGAGGAGGCGGAGGTGAAGTGAGATCAGGGGGAGCGGGCGCGAGCGGGGAACCGGGGAGGAGAGGCGGAAGCGGAGGCGGAGTTGATGCGCGCATGGAGGTGAGCGCATATGCGAACAGCATGTCCGTACTGCGGGAGGCGACTGGCGTGGGAGGGGGAATGGCATGGGGGGAAGGTCTGGGCGCGGGCGCATCCGGCAGGAGCGGCGGGTTGAGGGGAATGGGGGCGCAGGGGAGGGACGGTTTGAACGCGCAGGAGAATAGTCAAGGCTTGGTGTCTCCGAGGGGCGGGAGGGAGCACCCAGATCACAGACAGGCGGTGGCAGGGTATTCAAACGACAATGGCGGTATGATGCCACGTGTCTCGGGTTACTCTCAGCCGCAGCCGCAGCAGCAGCAGCAGGTGCAGGTGATGGGAGTAAAGGGCGAGTCTCAGCCACAGCACGTTGGCCAATCCCTGTCATTTGACGCTCAAGAGCGGCTTTACTATCAGCAGCAGCAACAGCAGCAGCAATACCAGCAACAGCAGCAGCAACCCTTCCATTCGCAGCAGCAGCAGCAAGCGCAGCCCACGTCTGCTCACTTCCCCTCCTCCGCCACACCCAAGTTCCCCCACCGCACCACCCTCGACCCGCACCCCCACCGCTCCTCCCAGCCGTTCTCCCTCACCTTCCTCACGTCTCTCTTCCGCCGGGACCCCCTCCGCACGCGCTCCTCCCGCCGCTCCCGCCACGCAGCCAGCCACGGGGAGGGGGGACCCCCTTCCGAAGCCGAGCAAATCCCTGTGCCGCCCCTGGATAAAATCCTCAACGTTCCCCGAAGCGTCGCATCTGACACAGCCGCTCGTGCCGCAGGAGTCGGCTCATCCTCTCCCCCGCAAACCCCTTCTTTCCCCGGAGGTAACCCTCCGTTAGGGGCGACGTTTCCCCCCAACCGCGCTTACCACTCCTCCGCCCTCCCCTCACCTGCGCAGCCGTCCCCCTCTAGCGCTGACCCCCACTCGCTCTGGTTCTCCTCCCCTTATGAGAGCGTGGGGGCGCGGATTGCAGAAAATGAGGCAGCAGACACGTTGGGGAGAGGGTTGGTGGGTGGAAGCGGACGATTGTGGGGAGGGGGGATTCCTGGGGGAGGCGAGGGGAGGGAGAGTGCAAAGGCGGAGACTGTGGGGTGTGTGCGCCCCATGATGCCCCGTTGGGTTACACCCCCTCGGCGCCTCTGGGCAGGGCGAGGGGGAGGGAAAGTGGCAGGGGCTGGCGGAGGGGGGGTTGGTGGTGGTGGCGGAGGGGGAAGGGCGCAGGGGGAGGAGGAGCGGGGGAGGGTGAATCACACAGGGAACAGGCCATTCCATGAGGTGAGGGCTGGGGCTGGTTCGAGAGGTGCGAGGCTTATCGGGTGGAAAGAGTCCTTACAGTCTGTCACTTGCAGGCGTTGATATGCCAGCCAGAGTGGTCTGAAGAGGTTCGGAGTGGTCTGAAGAGGTTCGGTGCTAGACATAGCATGTCCACCATAGCTGGAATGGAAGGCTCTTTTATAATACAACAGAATCCTGCACTTTTGGTTGGTTGCTTGCCCAAGGCCCACTCATCTAAAATCCATGAAATCCATGTTGTTGTTCCTGATGGCTTGGTGTCTCTTTACACTGGGTGTGGTGTGCTCACACGCCATTCCTTTCTCTAACCCTTGTGCTCCCTCTGTTTGCATGTGTGTGTGTGTGTGTGTGTGTGTGTGTGTGTGTGTGTGTTTGTGTGCGTGTGCGCGTGTGTGCTTGTGCGTGTGTGTGTGCATGTGTGTGTGTGTGTATGTGCGTGTGTGTGTGTTTGCATGCGCGTGTGTGCGTGCGTGTGCGTGCGTGCATGCGTGTGTGTGTGTGTGTGTGTGTGTGTGTGTGTGTGTGTGTGTGTGTGTGTGCGCGCGCGCGTGCGTGCATTGTGTCCATGCATGCTTCCCACACTGGCATTGCTTCAGATGTCGCAGCCTCTGTCCCAACCCTCATCGTACCACCATCACACCTCCCATCGCTGACCAGTGACCACCAACCCAAGAATCCCCCCCTCAAAGCTGTCCGCTCCAACTCTTCACCTTTGTCTGCTTATGGTTGAGAATCTCCCTCTGGTGCTCACTTTCAGGAACACCACCAGAGCTCTGAAGTTGGGTGAGGGATGGGGAACTTGGGAGAGGGATGGGGAACTTTGGAGAAGTTGGGGGAGGGAAGGATGGGGGAAATGTGTGTGTGTGTGTGGGTGTTCTCTAGTTTTTGTCATGGGATGTTTTAGATTTTTTTTTTTTTTTTTTTTTTTTTTTCCGTCGTTCTCCTTTTTCTCCATCCATCTGGGAACAAGTTCGTATTCTTTCGGCACTCGCAGGTCCGTCCTCTTTGCTATAATGCATCAACCAACGTGTTATTGTGTTGAGGTGCCCCCAAGCAGCATGCATGCTGTTTATCCCATACCGCATCCGCGTACTGGTCAATGTTTTTCTCGGCTAGATTTGGTCTCGAGCCAGCACAACTAGGGTGGGTGGGTGTAAGCTTAAGTTATGGGGTTGGTGTACACTTGAAGAAATTGAAGTCTGCTGAAGTACAAAACACAGATTCTATAATGGCAACGTTAAACCACTGTTTTGTTGGCTGTGCATGCCTTCCTTTCATTTCAGACAAAATAGGTGGTACTGGTAAGTAGGGTGGGGTTGGTAGTAAGCCTTAGCACACCCTTTTCAGGCTGTATTCCGCAAAATAGCAGTTATTTTGACAGCAAGTACGGAACTGAAGAACAAGCTAAATTTTGAATGCACCATGTAAGGTGTGGGAAATATCTGTATTATGCCGTTATCCTAATGCTTCTAAGTGTATCGTATCTTCTTCCTCCTGTTATTTTGTCTGGCCTCGGCCCTTGGCCTCTACCGATATACCCGCCTCGCCAGCATAAATGAGGTCTCGGGGTTTAGGATCTGCACCACCACCACCCCCCCAGCCACCTCGAATTTCTTTGCCTCCAGAAGCAGCAGCGCCATCCGCCCCACCCACCTCTCTACATCCCCCGACTCTTCCCCCGCTCGCGCGTTCCCCTCGCGGGTTTGTTCTACTTCATGCAGTAGTTCATGCAGTCTCGCCGCTGGCTGAGAAGCGCCTTCTTCATGCAGCACTTGGAGCACTTTTTGTTCTTCTTCGCCTGCGAGTCCTCCAAATCGTCCTCATCCAGCTGGCACGACCGCCACTTGGCGTTCGCGGGCGGCGTTTTGGGGACCAACTTCGGCGTCGCGACGTTGCGGTTAACCACCGGTAACTGCGGAAGCCAGGTGCCGAGTCCGATGTAGTCCGTTGTTAGGTACTTCTTCACCTGCCGCGCCGACATCACCCGCTGCCACCACACGCGCCCTTCGAGCACGCTGCCGATCCCGCGGTTTTTATACTCGGAGTAAAACGTCGTCAGTCTTCTAGCCGGGACCGTGAAGTCGCTCCAGCCTTCGGCAGCAACGACGTTGTCCAGGGACGAATACGCGACGATCGTGCACGCGTATTTTCCCCACGCGCGTCCCAGCCAGCCCTGGTTCTTGCCCGTGATGTGCGAGTTCATGATCACGAAGCACGTGTCTTCTGACGGGAAGTCGCGCTTCTGCGCCGTGACCGCGGCGGTACCCATCGAGTCCATGTAGAAGGTGCACGACTCGAAGACGGCGCGCGCCTTGCCGAATACGAAGTCCATTTCCCCGAAGATGTAACCTGGCGACACAGAAGGAAAAGAATGTGACGCGCATGGAGGGGGGGAGTGAGGCGCTCGTAGAAGGCCCGAACAGCACCGAGGGACACGCGGCGAGGGGTGAATTTGAGCGTACTTGAAGCTAACAGAAGGAACAGTGACCTACAGTCTTTGTAGTATTGGAAACCCTCGTGCGCGTATAGAGTGTCCTGGTATGAGTAGAAGCTGCAGTTGTACACTAGAGTGCGATTGCCGCTAGCGCGAAAAGCGACGGCCTGGAATCCGACGGTGGCGGGGGGCGGGCGTGGAGAGCTGTTCTCAACGATCATGTTGATCATCGTGAAATCGTCACCCAATGCTGCGAGAGTGCCCGTGCCAGCTGTCACCAGGTGCATTATGGATGGACGAAAGGAGAAGGAACATTACTGGGATGGAGGGTAGGACGAAATATGAGAAGCCGAAAAAACACGAAATGGTGCAAAGGAAAGCAGGACCAGCCTAAAATGGTGGACGGGTTTATGTGCACCTGTGCCGATTGGATCGCCGTTGGCGTCGAGCTTGGCAGAGTATTTGTTGAACTTCACGCGGGTGAGACCAGGCTCACCGATAAGCGTCATGAATCGCTGCAATGGAAGAAATGTATCGAAAAACGAGCATGGGGATGAATACGGAGTTTCAACGACGGTGGGGTGAGGCGGCGCGGAATTAACCGCAACAATACTTATTATCAAGCGAGATAGAGCTGACGTTGCGAGAGTTCGTACATGAGTGGCTGGGATGATGACCTCCTCAAAATATGTCCCTGCCTTGACGAATATGATCGTCTTTACGGGCTTCACTGAGTAGGGCGTCACGTAGTTAATCGCCTCTTGTATCGTTTTAAAGTTTCCCGAGCCATCCTGAGCAACAATGATATCAGGTCTTGCGGACGGGATGATGGGCCCCGACCATGCCGCCTTATGCGCAAAAACCGCCTCGGCTATTTTTGAGTGCGGATTTGCCGATGGATCACCCATAAACGCCGAGGCGGGTAATGACGCAGCAGCAGCAATAGAAGCACAAGCGATAAGAGGCAACAGCAGTATAAGTCGAAACGCCATTGTTAGTGCGGGGAGCTAAAGTTCTCACAGACGGGTTATGCGCCAGGAGTTAAAATGTCGAGTACGAGCTTGCACGAACTGGAACCTGATGTGTCTCCCAAAGATTATGGGACGAATGGCCTAATGTGAGGCGCAATTGTTCAACAACGGTTGTAAAATATGCTGGAGGGGATCACGCAAAATGTTGAGTTGAGCCAATGTGAAGATGGGTGTGCCAAAAATCAAAGCTCGCGACGCGCAATGCGGTTCGAGAGATGTTTCGCTTGATGCGGCTCGCGACAAACCCAACGTCGGCACCTTTGACGGTGAGCCATCCTCGACTGGAAACCCGAATCGCTAGTTGTCGCAACGTCGAGGTAGCCACAAAAAGTTTGGGGAAAAGCTCTCCCAGCCCTGAGGTGGAGTAACAAAAGATGTCGCGATTTCGCCGACGAAAGCCGTTTACCAGTCGCAGCGATAAGCGACTTCGCGAGGAGTGGCTGAATATTGTTAGGGCACGTCAAAGTTTCACGTCCGTGAGGTTGAGTGAACTGTGGCAGTCGGATACCTGGCGGCCCACCTTCTTACCGTCCAAAAGCTTGCACGACGATGGACTGTGCGACCCTTTTGTCAGGGCTGCGTTGTTTTTGCGAAAGGTAGTTGCGAGGTGATAGGAAGCCCTCCAAAAAGTAACGAATTACCCCCCCACATGCACCTCCACCTGAATTCATTTCTGTCATACCAGTACACTTCTACCATATATCAGCCATTTCCTGCTCGTTTCCAAGATATGCAATGCTACCACCGCCTTGCTAGGACTTGACAGGCTGTTGCACGCGGCTATACCATGATTCTTGGCAGTCGTTTACACTTCCAACGTAATGTGAACATCCCCCTAGTGATCAACTTCCTAATCACGCATGGTACCCACATGTAGGTAGGTAGACTCTCTCATAGCAAGTCCCTGTTGAGAGCTCTTGTCAAGAATAGAAGTGTTGGTTTGACTAAGGTTGGTTGGGGTACATAAACCTAACCCTAGAAGTTCTACCCCCTATAATGCACATCACTACGATTACAACATTTGACACATCCCCATAGTCTAAGTGCGGGGTGTCAAGCAAAAACCAAAATGTACGGTTACAAGACCAGTCACAGAGAAACAAAGCTCAGGGTGGATCACAACGTTACCACACACTCCGAGCACAAACAAAAGAGCCACAAGGCTTTTGTCTCCCTGGCGCAAGGATGCTGAAAGGGAAGGCGAGGTCCAGGCGAGTACAAGTCATAAGGTACACGAGGCAGCCTACAAGCTCTGCGTAAGGACCACTAGGCTGGAACGGCTCGTCAGGAAAGGGTCTCGTGAGTCTATGGTCAACGACAAGAGCTTTGCGCTGTACATTGGAGCGCTGAAGCTCGAACCGCTAAAGGACCTGCTGCACCATGTGTGACTGTGAGAGAATAATGGTGCGAGTGGCTCTGCCTCTAGTGATTTGCAGGCCAAGGTAGTGGCGCAGCTCACCAAGGCTGTAGACCGGTCGCCTAAGCCTTCACTGGGTCTCAGGAGGGAAAGTGTCAGTGAAGGCAGAGGGACGACACAACCAGACCTCCTCGTGTAGGTTACCCTGAAGGAAAGCAGTGGAGAAGACTAGAGAATGTAATTTGTAGTCTCTCTGTGCTGCTACGTGCAGTAACAACCGAAGAGTGGTTATCTTCGGGGTAGGCGCGAAGGTCTGAAAGAAGTCAACTCTCTCGCGTTGACTGAAACCTCTGGCCACATAGCGCGCCTTGAAGACCGGAGGAGATCACGGTGGCTACTTCACCCTGAAGATCCGCATGCCATTGACTACGTTCGCCCCATGGGGGGGGGACCTCGTCGATGTAGGTGCCTGTGGATCTGTAGGAGGCCATATCTGAGTCCATGGTAGCACTCCACTGAGAGGCCCAAGGCCCTGACACTGCCTCAGCGTAAGTGCGAGGAGTCGGTATGTCAAGGGCGTCAGGGTCTCCCTCAGGGGCGAGCAGCATGGCACAGAGATGAGGGGAAGCGGCTGCCAGGAAATTCAGCTCAAGCTGCTTGTCCTCTAGGGCGTCACAACCAAGGGCAGACTCACCCCCGACGGCCAAAGGTCTGGTAGGAGGAGCAACCACGAGACAAGTGGCGTAGTCAATCGGCGAGTAGTGGTGAACTCAGTAAGGGCGCAGACAGAGGACAGAGAGGCACGAGGGTTCGTAACAAGAGAGCTGAGAACACGAGAGAGAGAACAGGTTGGTACGTGCGGTAGTAGTCAGTGACAGGAGTGGCGAGGGAAGCAGTGAGGGTCGACG